ATAATACGATCCAGCAGAATCTCCACACTTAATCTTGGTGCTAAATGCAGAATCAGTTCCAAAGCAGCCAGTTTGGAATCACAGTATTTGAGAGTCTGTAAACAGGACGTTATCACAGACACTAGAACAACTAGCCCATTCTCTTTTGTCTCTCCCTCTGCTTTCTCTGTTCGGTCATGTCCACAGAGATTGTGAATAATGTTGTCCAGATCTTTACGTATGACAAGTATACGCTCATCTGCTGATAGGAATGTTTCCTTGGCAAACTGTGCCATGTAAGGCTGGAGAAAGGTGTAAAATATTTCAGGAAATGCATTGTTACGTTGTTGTTTTAAGTAATCGTCTGCTCCTAAACGTTTATCTGGCTCACAGTGGATCATCTGAGTGACCTGCAGGGAGGCAGGGGTGGAGGGGAGTGGGAGAAAAGATTATAAGGTTTAGAAATGAATGACAAGTTATCCCCAAAGCAGTCAAAACCAAAAGCAGAATAAATAAGATGGCTCTACAGAATGCAGTGTTATTTACCAGTTCTCTGATACTGCGATCTTCAATTTTGTTCAGGACTTGGTCAGGGGAGAAAAGACCATTTCTATAGGCCAAAAGCTGAGATAAGTCAAACAGTGGTACACCTTCTGTGAAGAGCTCTGCTATTACACAGCCTGGAAAATATCAAATATGGTGTCTGAGCATTACAAAATAGCTACTGCTCCTTTGCTGTCAATGCAAAAACAAAAATAAGTTTTACACAATTCAACTGAATACAAAAATCTAAAGGGATAAAAGGTTGTGTCCAAAGAGCTATTTTAAGTTTAATTTCTCTGTATCAAGAAAAACCCCAAAATTGCTTTCAAACTTGATCCCTACATTCTAAGTCTTAGAAGTATATTTCAACAGCCACAGGGTGGTAGCATTAGGCAACATAAGGCACTTGCATTTTTCAGCTGGCAGGTGCTTGAAGCAAAACCAGAAAAGGAAACCACATCACTGTCATGTGGCAGAGTAACTAAGTAACCAACCAACCAAGAAAGCACAGAGTAACCAGCCCTCCTCAGGAAGTGACTGAAGGACCTTTGCTTCTGTGATGATGCTCAGTGATGGTGTTTGTCAACTACGGGTATGTCTACACTGCAATTAGACACCAGTGGCTGGCCTGTGCCAGCAGACTTGGGCTCACCAGGCTCGGGCTGTTTAATTGTGGTGTAGACGTCCAGGCTCAGGCTGGGGCCAGGCTCTAAGATCCTCTGAGACAGGTGGCTCTCCCAGCTCGAGCTGCAGCCAGAGCTGGAATGCCTACACCAGTGTTAAATAATCCCGCAGCCTGAACCCTGTGAGCCCAAATCAGCTGGCACAGGCCAGACACTGGTGCCTAATTGCAAGGTAGACCTACAGCTTTACTTGTTTTAGATATTTTGAGCAGTAACATTAAGATTGGGGCAGAAACCACCCAGAATTGCCAAATAAACACAATTATTAGGTCACGTTGAGTACACAGAACTACAAAAGTATTCTTTTCTAAGACTTGAATACCAATCCTGAAATCTGATCCACTTGGGCAGAATCCCACTAGAGCAGAGGTAGGCAAATTACAGCCCAGGGGCCACATCCAGCCCATGGGACTCTCCTGCCTGGCCCCTGAGCTCCTGGCCCGGAAGGCTAGCCCCCCGGCCCCTCCCCTGCTGTTCCCTCTCCCCCACTGCGCAGCCGGCGCAATGCTCTGGGCAGCAGGGCTGCAAGCTCTTGCTGGGCAGCGCAGCTGCAGAGCCACGGCTTGACCCGGTGCTCTGTGCTGTGCAGTGGTGTGGCTGGCTCCAGCCGGGCGGCACAGCTGCCTGTCCTGGTGCTCTGGGCGGCGCGGGTGTCGCGCCGCCAGCCACCGGTACTCCAGGCAGCATGGTAAGGCAGCACGGGGGGTTGGATAGAGGACAGGGGAGTTCGGGGTGGTGGTCAGCAGCTGGGGGTATGGATAGGAGCCGGGACAGTCAGAGGGTGGGGAATGTGGGGGCAGTCAGGAATGTGAGGAGGGTTTGGATGGGGCAGCGGGGGGGCAGTCAGGGGACAGGGAAGGATGGATGGGGCAGGGATCCCAGGGGGGCCATCAGGGAGCAAGAAGCAGGGAGGGAGCGGGGATTGGATGGGAGGCAGGGCCCGGGCCACACCTGGCTGTTTGGGGAGGCACAGCCGCCCCTAACTGGCCCTCCATACAATTTCAGAAACCCGATGTGGCCCTTAGGCCAAAAAGTTTGCTCGTCCCTACACTAGAGTCAATAAGGCTTGGCAGATGTCTGCCCATGTGGATCACACTGCAGGATTAGGGCCACAGATTTTAAATTCAGATCCCTAGTTACGCAAAAAAAGAAAAATGAACAGAGACCAAACCTTTCCAGGTGGCCTCTCTAGACCATAGTTGAAGCACATTAGCATGGCAGTTTGTAGTTCCACAGATACATCACCATGGTATCAGAGTGCCTTTGTAAGGTTTTATATCACACAAAAATATATAGATTTTGTACAGTACTTATCCTGTGAATAGAAGGCTCTGGGGTCAACACTAAGAAGTTGGGGTGGGGGGGTTTGTTTCCCCCCAAATCTCCCTAAGTTCTTTAAGCTTCTTATTATAAAAAAAATCTCTACTCAGTTGATGCAAAACTATAAATCATGTATAGTTCTCGGATAATCACCCCAAATACCTGCAGAAAAGATATCCATTGCACGTTTCAATTCTCCTCTGGTTCGCTGATTGCTGTTTGCCAAGTCTACCAGTGGCATTGAAGGATCTTTCATATTCTCCAACTCTGTAGAAAACATACTGCCATCAACAAAGCGCTCAGGGGCAATATAACAAGTCCTTCTACGCGATGTGTCAAAGAAATAATTGAAGTCAGCAGGATTGTCCTCAGGAAGATAAGTTGGTTTAAAACTGGCAAAGTCAGTTAGAAGCACCCAGTTCCAGCTAGTCACCATAATGTTTTCAGTTTTGATGTCCCCATGACGGACTCCAGACTTGTGTGCTTGGTCCACAGCAGTCAAGATCTGGAAGGCTATCCACCTCTTTTCAATGTTATTTAGGAATGGCCTAGTACTAATTCGATCATAAAGGTTGTCCCGCACATACTGTCGGAAGAGCATAGCTGCTTTTTCAGACAAAGTGGCCTTCTGAAAGGGAAGACAGTTCTGGGCAGAGTGTAGCCTTATTTTTAACTCCTCTAGCTCTTGTTTGTAGCTAGTTAGTGGTAAAGTTGGATCCTGAATTGCAAACACCTTCACAACCACCAGGCCTTCCCTGTGCTTGGCCCGAGCAACTTTAAAAAATCGAGTACTCCCCAGACTTTTGTCATATTCAAAGTCATGGATGTCTGAGAAATAGCTGTCAACAGACAGGATCTGAGACGGGGCAATGCCGGCCAGCTGATTCCCCATGATGGCACCTCTTGTTGTAGAAGTCAGCACTTCACAACTGCACCTAGAAAACAATTAAAATACTATCTCATATTTTTATAGTGTCCTTCATCTCAAAGTATCCAAATATTATATACAAAAAGATAGAGACATGCAGAAATCATTTCAAATGACACACAAATGCAGCCATTTCTGCTCTGGAGTGGAATGTGGCAACTACTTAATAACTCCTAGGACTGAAAGCTCTTCCTTGCTTTTTTATTAATAGTTCATACTCCTGCAGTACTGTACTTGTTTAAAAATATGTTTTCTTTATGAGTTTCTCATGATTTCTGAGAAACACTTAATACAACAGCTCCAACCTCATTGCTCCCATCGATGAGCTCAGAATTTGGCCTTTCCTTGTGCAATGAAACCACAGTTTGGTTGACAGCTATGCAGGACCAAGTTCTGCCCTGGCATAAGCAAGTTGCATCTCCCACTGAAGTAAAAAAACACTTATTCCAGGAGCAAATTTGGTCCAGACTCTCCAGGAACAGTACTGGCAACTGCACTGATGTGTCTGGAAAGCCCTAGGGTCTCAAGGGATCAGCATTCCTACCCACATCCTACTGCTACTCCCTCAGTCAGTGAATTAGAGATTAATCTACAAAAGGAAACTTCAGCATTTGGGACATTTGCAACAAGCCAGGCACAAAGAATGAGAGAACAAAGGGAGCCCACTGAAACATTCATGGCCAATCCTGCCTGAAGAAGCAGGGCTGGAATGTGTGGCAGACTAGGACTAGTCTACACTGGCAATGTTAAAGCACTGCCACAGCAGCGCTTTAAAATGGCTTGTATAGTCGCGGCAGAAAACCCACCTCCACAAGGGGCATGGCTCCCAGTGCCGGTGCACTGTCTACACTGGCACTTTACAGCGCTGCAACTTCCGCGCTCAGAGGTGTGAAAAAAACCCAAGGTTTAGTGGGCCTATTAGATTTGATTTCCAGAGTCCCCTCCCGCCCCTCACCCTGTGCTCATATCAGGCATGACCTGCACTCCTCTCCCATGCAACACCCGCCACACACCCCACCCAACTTTCACCTGATCCCCTCCCCAATACTCTCTTCGGGCAGCAACCCCCTCTCACCCCCCCCCACATCTCAGCCAGCGCCTACCTGACCCCGCTCTGGCAGCATCCCCACCCAGCTCCCACCTAACCCCCTCCCCAATGCCACCCCCTGTGGCAACATCCCCACAAAGCTCCTCATCACCCTGCTCTCATCTGATCTCCCCGCCCTCCCCCCCCCCGTGGCAGCATCCCCACCCACACTGTTGCCTTCACTGCTGCTCCCCCCCCCCCGACACATCCCCCCCCCCGCGGTACCTGGAGCAGAAACCCGCGGAAACACCAAGCGACCCCTCCCCGTCACTCACCCGGGGGCCGCCCCCCGCCGGGCCTGCGGGGACCCGGGAGCCCCCGGCTGCGGGGTGGAAGGGGCCGGGGCGCCTCTGAGGAAACTCTCTGCTCCGCGGAACCGGCAACCATGACACGGGGCGGCGCTGTGAGCTCACATCCGGCTGGGCTGGGCCCCGTCACCGCCCCTCGGGCCTGCGGGGGCTCCGGCTACAGGGACCGCGTCAGGCTGCAGCCCCCAGCCAGAGCCCCGCCCCCGGCCAGCCTGAGCAAACACCGCCCCCCCCCGGCTTAGGTGGCGGGATTCGCCCCTTCCGCGACCCCCTGGGAAAGCCGGGGGGCGTTGGCAGCTCGCCCGCCCTGGCCCCGCTGTGGGGGTGGTTCTGAAAGCCCCTGCTCCTGGAGTCCTGTGATGAGGGGAGGCTCTCCGCTTTCATTGCAAAAAGGGGTCTGGCCCTGGGGCGGCTGAGACAAGCTGGGGCAGGTGACCCTTGAAGGCTCAAAAGGGAGACACCAAGTTACTTGTTTCACTTATAGCTTGTTTCTTGTTTTAAATCTCATTATTTTGGAGCCTAAAGTAAGTGTGAAGAGCGGGGAGATAAGGTCATGCTAAAGTGTATGATACTGTTCGGCCCCTAGGTTTCACATACTGTACCTGATTTCAGCTCGCCTCAGCCCATAGCTGCCAGAGCAGTAAAACAGTGAACTCATCTGGTGTCCAGCTCTCTGTGAGAGAAAAGCCCTGTAGGTTTCAGAGTGGCAGCCCTGTTCGTCTGTCTCAGCAAAAACAAGGAGGAGTCCTTGTGGTACCTTAGAGACTAACTATAGCTGGTACAGGAGCTTGGCTTGCTAGTAGCAACCCCATCACCGACACCTGCCATGTGGAAGTGTATGACCCGGAGCATGACTAGTGATTTTTGAACAGCTGGGGTTGGCAACGTTGCTGTACTCAGTGACTGTAAAGCACCCTTCAAAGTCCTTGTCCCTCTTTCTCCCAGGGGGAGAGGCTGGATCAGAGAGATTACAACGCACCTAACAACGTTCTTCCGCCAGCCTTGGGAGAGACGGTAACACACTAACAATACCTCTCCCTGGTCCCCAGCAAGAGAGGATGAAAAGATTGTAACAGTGAGCAAAATGTCGCTTCTCCCTAGGGAGGGGGATTCTGTAACACTCCTTTGCTCCTTTTTTTTCCTGTCAGAGTGCCCCTTCTGCTTCTGCCAGTCTTTGCAATGAGGAGCAAAAAGCAGCAGCGACTGGTCTCCACAGCACCATTTACAAGTAAGGGCTGGTCAAAATGTCTTGAATGCAAAGCTTCTTCAGCAAAAAAAAAAAGGCCTTTTTATTTTCTTTTTCAAAATAGAAATATTTTGGGAAAGCATGTCAATATTTTGAAATGTTTGTTTTATCAAAAAATCAGTTTTTCAAAACGTTTCCCAGTATTGTTTTCCAGATTAGTTGTGAAATGTCAAAATATTTTTAATTCGCCACACTGTAACTTTTGATTGGAGCGTTTAGTCACATGTGGGTATCTTGTTTTCTTGATTGGATGGTATAGTCATAAATACTTTGACAGCATGTAATTGAGTCATCTGATCTATGCCTTCCAGAAGACAAGCTGATTATTCTGGCTTCTTTGTGTGGGAATCAACTAGGCCAGGCTATATGGTGAGACTGACCTTCTGTTAGTGGTTACAGGGCTGTCGGTCCTGTCCTTCTTCACCCCCCACCCCTCCAAAAAAAATCTTTATAGGAATAGGCAGTGGTGGTACATTTCCTGTAGGAAAATTTCACAATTTTTGTTGGGTTTTTTGTGTTTGTTTGTTTTAACTACTCTACTTTCAATTTAAGAGGAAGGGCAGCAGCAATGAGGTGCTATACAGCACATTCTCCTCTCCTGCAGTTGATGCTGTAGTTACTGGGATCAAGATGACGTAATAGGCATTAAGGGATGCTGAAGATGCCTGTCATGGGTGTATCTGTGCTCTTCTAGGCCAACCAAATGGGGAATTAGCTAGCCCATTTCTTTCTCCCTGTGCCCAGGTTTAGATGTTAGTGAATAAATGATCTAGCAGAGGCCTGTGCTTTTACTTGAGTCCTGATGGCTTTGCAGTAGGTTTGTCCCACTTACTCCTCTCTGAGGCTTAGAAGGGAATTTGTTTTCATACGTTTGAGTTATAAGGAAGAGTCTTTTCAGGTGGCTTTTGGTTGTTTGGGGGGGATTGTCCTGAGACTTGTTTCTTTTTAAGAATTCTTATGAAGGTAAAAATCTCCATTCTGTATTTTTAAAACTGAGAAATAGGATTAATTCCTTCCTTGATACTTTTCTTCTTTCATGACATGGCTCTTCTTGATGAATTTTCTCAAACCTAGAATGAAGTAGAAAGGGATCTTGGTTACCATTTTAGTTTGAAAACAAATGTGACAGCAAGAAGCGGGGGATAGAATTAGGGAAACTGTTTTCTGTTTTTGTTGGATTCTTCCTTCAGCTGCCTGTTGCTTTCATGGTATAGTGCTCAGTCCTCTGGACTACCGTCTATAGTCCAGGTTTTGGTATGGTCTAATAGGTAGAGCAGGGAATGTGGAGCCAGGTCTCTTGGGTTGTATTTTCAGCTTTGAGATCAAGTGTGATCCAATAGATCTAAACTTCCTGCTCTGATCTCTCTTGCCTTTAATGCAGAGGTGGGCAAACTAGGGCCTGCAGGCCGGATCTGGCTCACAAGCCATTTTAATCCAGTCCTCGAGCTCCTACTGGGGAGTAGAGTCTGGGGCTTGCCCCGCTCTAGAGCTCCAGTCTGGGAGCAGGGTCAGGGGCCACTCCACACAGCTCCCATAAGCAGTGGCATGGCCCTGCTCCGGCGCTCCAGCCAGGGAGCAGGGTGGGGGCCATTCCACGTGGCTCCCGGAAGCAGCAGCATGGCCCCCTCCGGCCTGGTGGCTCTGCGCGCTGCCCCCACAGCTCCCATTGGGCAGGAACCACAGCCAATGGGACCTGCAGGGGTGGTGCCTGCGGATGGGACACCGTGCAGAGCCGCCTGTCTGCACCTCCATATAGGAGCCGGAGAAGGGACATGCTGCCGCTTCTGGGAGCCACTTGAGGTAAGCGTTGCCCGGAGCCTGCACCCCTGAGCTACGCCCCTTCCCCAGCCCTGATCCCCCTCCCGCCTTCCAAACCCCTCGATCCCAGCCCAGAACACACTCCTGCACCCCAAACCCCTCATCCCAGCCCCACCCTAGAGCCTGCACCCCCAGTTGGAAGCTGCACCCTCTTCCCACACCCCAATCCCCTGCCCCAGCACTGATTCCCCCCCCGCCCCCGAACCTCTCGGTCCCAGCCCAGAGCACCCTCCTACACCCCAAACTCCTCATCCTCTGCCCCACCCCAGAGCCTGTACCCCCAGCTGGAGCCCACACCCCCTCCCACACCAAACCCCAACTTTGTGAGCATTCATGGTCCACCATATAATTTCTATTCCCAGATGTGGCCCTTGGGCCAAAAAGTTTGCCCACCCCTGCTCTAATGTCACAAATCTGTTTACTCCTTTAGGTCACTATTCCTACTCATATGGCTTAACATGTTGCATTTGAAATGGAAACAACTGAATTGGGATAGTACTATGTAGGGAATGATGATGGACATGGGCCTGCCTGGCAAATCTTCAGTTTTTGTTCCTTCCCTGCCCCTTAAAACATTTTAACATAACTGGTAATGATGATGCTTGTGCTTGTTGTGAAGTTAGAGGGTGGCAAATCCAGTGGTTTAATAATCTTTGTTTTAAAACAAAGTGTCAAATGGCCTAGAAATAAAATAGATATAGGTAAATAATGTTAAGTGACATGGATATTATTCGGTAGCCTGAATGACCTTCGTGTCTTCATTTTTAATGTTAGTAGCTGAAGAGTAGCTTACAGGATTTTGTTTGTCCCATTGTATTATCTTAAAAAAAGAGAGAGAGCATTTAATGCTTGTTTAGAAAATCTCCATTATCTTGTTTCTATATAACTAACGTATTTAATTGATACATTAAATTAAATGTCCCATCTACAGAGAAGTTATTGGCATTTGAGAACAAAGATTCTTATCAATTAAGTCAGATGCATGAAGCCTATTTGAAAATGCAAATTTGTACATGTAGGCTATCAGAAGAAAATAAGGCTGTTTAGAACACTGAAATCACCATGATAACTATTTAATCATCTTTTAGTATTTAATATCCCTAGGTCATTCTTTTCCCAAACCAATTAAATTATGATAATCTGAAAGAAATATCCTTTTGTAGTTAAAGAACTGGATTAGGATCCTGGATTCCCAAATTCTGTTCCCTGCTCTGATCCTGACTTCTTGTCTGGCCTTGGGCAAGTCATTTCTCCTCTTAACCTCAGTTTCCCCAACTGTGAAATAGAGTTAATGATACTCACCTACCTGGTGCCTTGGGAGGACTAATTCAGTAAAGTTTGTAGCTTGCTTTTAAGGTCTTTGGATGGAAAGTGCCGGATAAAGGGGTAAAGTATTTAATAAAGAAGCTTGGTAAGCAATTGGGAGCAAAATGTTGGATGCTGGAACCTGCTTTGAAATCACCATCTTTATGCCATTGTTTCAAGTCTGAGCTTTCTATCCCAGAGTGTTCCTGTCTCCTCAGGAGGCCCAGCAGATGCTGCATGACAGGGAATATTGTGAAGCCCAAAACTATAAATGGGTTCAAAAAAATAGATACGTTCATGGAGGATAGGTCCATCAATGGCTATTAGCCAAGATGGTCGGGGATGCAACCCCATGCTCTGGGTGTCCCTAGCCTCTGTTTGCCAGAAGGTGGGAGTGGATGATGGGATGGATCACTTGATTATTGCCTGTTCTGTTCATTCCCTCTGAAGCACCTGGTATTGGCCACTTTCGGAAGAGAGGATACTGGGCTAGATGGACCATTGGTGTGACTCAGTATAGCCATTCTTATGATTTCTGTCCTTTTCATCCTTGAACAGCTCTTGTACAACCTACATAGTCTGACATCTGAATGAAAATAAGATCTACAGTTTCAGAATGTGGAGAAGGGTGCAGTTTCCCTGGCATGAAATATCTGATAAATTTTCAGAGAGACAAGGTGGGTGAGTTAATGTCATTTATTGGACCAACTTCTAATATTACTTCTTTAGTATCCTGGGACCAACACAGCTCCAGCAAATTTTCAGCAGGTCATTTTGCCCCTTTCTCCCTTATTTTAACTGTTTAACATAATAGTGAAAGACATATTTTTCATCCTAGTTCTCTTTCTGGCTTTATTTGATATTTATTAATCTGTTCTTCCTGGGTGTTGTAGGTGTGAAACATGTTTTCAGCCACAATAGAGATGAGGTAATAGTCATAGTATTATCAATATAACAACTAAAGTCATACAAGGACACTGGACACTACACACTATAGGATATAAATACTGGGGAACCCCAGAGAGTTGCAGCCTTGTCCAGCAAGTAATTCTAGGACTCACTTTCTTTGGGAAATATTTCTTGGATGCATATCAACGGCACAGTTCTTTGCTCTTTAGAAGTACCATGACAAGGCAGGAAAAGCCCTCTTGAGTCAGGAAGCCTCCTCACTCAGCACTGCTATATCCCCATCTTTCCTTTGCTTCTAATGATGCTTAAGTGTTTAGAAGAAAGACATTCACTGCAGTCTCTCAAGCTTTTGCAGTTTGCTAGAAATTCATTTAGACATATTCCTTTTTCTCATTTAGCTCAAGTGATTGAGATCGTGGATTTCTGAACAGTAGATCTAAGTTCTGTCCTCAATGAACTTTATATTGTCTCATCATTGATCATGATAAACCTCTTTTTCTGTTTCAGCAGAATGGGAGACTCAGACCACGTCTACAGTATACATTTTTGTTAGTATAGCTGTGTTGGTCAGTGTGTGCAGAGGCGTGATTCCTGACCCTCTTAGTTGAAAACTCTCTTTAGCCTCCAAGATTAAGCTGTATTTCATCCCTCCCATCCTATCATCTCTTCACTAGAGATCATGAGAAGTGATCATTATGCCGGTGACTGGCTGACAGACTCCAGAGAACTGACTTCAGGCTTGCGTATCATGCAGAATCAGCTGAGCATTTTATGTTTGAATTGTTTTATACAATATTGTTATTTAGACTCCCAGCCTAAACTCTAGGCACAAAAACAAAATAGTTCTCTTCAAGGATGCATCACCTGATCTGCGAGTGAATATCACAGGATAGCATGGAAACATTTTGGCTGTGTTTTTATCTAAAAACAGCACTTCTGTGCTAAATGAACTAGGACTGATAAGCTTCACTTAGGGAGAAGGAGCTAGTGGTGACCTGAAACTTGGCTTAAAAAGACTGGCTGTCTTTGGTAAGGCCACGCTCTGAAGCAGAGTCACAGTCAATTTATTCCATTCATTACAGGAGAAAATGGCACTTCATAGCCTCTAGGTGGCAGTGATTCTTTACCGCTACTAATCTTTACCAGGAACAGCATATCCATATCCCCCTACCCCCAAGTCACAAGACTGGGAGCCAGGGGAGCAGAGCGGAACTGGCTGAGGTCAGGTCACTCCACTGCCCGCCGCCCCATGAGTGCAGGGTCGGACCCGCCCTGCAATCACCGGGCAGCAGGAAGTGGAGCGACCCGGCCCCAACCCACTCTACCGGCTCGTTCTGGGGGATCTTGGGGGATCGGGGCTGAATAGGGCACCACAATGTCTAGGGACGGCCTAGTGCTACCAGACAGCTATATCTGGAAATAATCCATGCCTCACAGCTCCCCAGAAGGCCAAAATCTGGCTAAAATTTTAAGTTCCATGCTTGTTTGAAGAGATGCAGCAGTAGCATGAAATGTATTACTATGAACAGAGAGCCAAACAGTCAATTCCTGTATTCCTAATTAGCATTTGGAAAGGATTAATTCAGTTACTGGCATCTCCTCAAAATTTGATTAGAGAATGCTTTCCACAAGCTCTATAACCTTCCAAAACATGCATAATTCACCAGTTCCTGTGGTTTTGGCTCAGTTTTCATCACTGGGATGGAATGAGTCGCTTCCTCAGTAAGTAATCACTTCTACTGTCAGTACTACTGGCAGGTGGTATAAACTGTCCTAGTGCCTAACTATGAAAGTCGTATTGGAAAAAGGATGAAAAAATACCTTATAAAATGCATGAGTGCATGCTGATTCAATGAATTACCCAGCATTGAAATTGTATGGGAGAGAAAAAGAGATTAATTAGTTACCAAGTAACCTGAGGTAGCAGGTGTTGCTAAATATGAGTCAATGCTGGTAGATAAGCATTGGGTGGTGGCTGTAAAGTTTGAGCCAAAGTAATGGTAATGCCTTGGACAGAAGATCGGTGTATGAGCTGTTTAGAGATAAGTACAGGTTGGAGAAGGGCTACTGAGATAGCAGCAAGGTAGCCAAGTTTAACTGATTTACTGCCTCAAATCCTATGCATCAAAGCAAACAATATGGCAGACTTAGAACAGCAACATTTGAATACAAACTTCAAACACCATCCTCTTTCTCCCCCCCAAAAAAGAGTGTGTATCCAAATCTGGAGTCTTGGTTCAGGCTATCATAGAGGCTAACCACAAAATTTGGCTCCAAACCCAAGTCTGAATTCCAAACCCAACACCACCAAAGTTTATGGATGTTCAGGTTTGGGAGGACGGGTTGGTTCAGGCCCATCTCTAGGATAACTGTTGGTGGTCTGCCTTTGGATCCCTGGGAGACCCAGTGCAAGAGAGAGCTAGTCACCTGGGATGCCTGTTTGCCTTGGGGATGGTGGTTCTTGACTTGTTATATTGAAATAGAAGCCCATATTTTGATCATAGTCTCCATAACCTTATGCCAATAAACAGGGATTTTTTAAAGCAGAAATTTATATGCAATTTCATCTCCCACCAGTCCAGTCACCCAACCTGCTTCATCTTGTGCAGTAACTAATAAAAGAACAGCTTGCATGGCTACTGTAGCTATATAAACTCAGGGAAAAGCTCTTCAGATTTTAAGGAGTGCCTAGAGCAGGGGATTAAACAACATTTAATTTATTACATAAATTAGAGCAGAAAGATACCATGCCTCTGTGTGGGTTTTAGGTTTACAAGTATGTACTTTAAAAATAATTGCAATATGGGTAAAACAGCAAAGGAGTGAGAGAATAAGCAGGGTAGAACTCTGGATAGAACCCTCATTATTAAATCTAGTTATAATTAATCTAGTAACGACAGTGCAAACCAGCATGTAGTTTTATATGTAATAGTACATTGGTCAGAAATGAGATGTTTAGAGAACCTTTTCAACCAATTTCCAGGCCTTCTCATTCACAGTAGTCTCACCAGCGTTCCAAGAAAATATCCTCTAGAAAGGTAGATTTGCAATAGTGGTGATGGTGTTTGCTGTAGCAGCCAAACATCTAGGTCATCCAAAAGATTCTACAGACTTACTAAAGTGTTGACCTTTTGTCTTGAAAACTGTTGACTTTTAGAATTGTTATGGTGTATATCTCTTGGAATTCTTTATGCATCTGAAAAATACATTTTTATTGTTCTGCAGAGCTCCCAGTCACATATGATTTGTTTTTTTAAATGCTGAGTAAATTGCATTCCTTTGCTTTTGCATTATTCTCCTCCTACTGCTTTCTGCCCTCACCACCTTCCGTAAAATGCCTGATCCACTGCTCTCTAAATTCAGTGGAAATATGCTGGTTGGCTTTAATGGCAGACAGGCTAGGTCCAAGGTAAGCATTTAGGATTTCACCTCTCGGTAATTATTGCTTCTCCAGTCTAGGGAAGTGTCACCAGGATTTCATTCATACCATTTCCACTTGCTAAAAAAGCAATAAAATTCTTGTATCGTCTATTGAGACAGAGCAACATAATAGCTTCCAAGACTTTTAAGTCCAGAATCCCCTGTGATCATGTAGTCTGGCCTCCTGTATAGAACTTCACCTAGTAACTCCTGCAGCAAGCCCATAACTTCTACAGCACGTCTCTTACTGGGATCATGGAAATCTTGGATACTGTCAGTAGGAAAGCTGTTGGCATTGGCTAGCTAGTACAGTTACATCTACATCAGGGATGGGCAAACTACGTCCTGAGGGCCGCATCTAGCCCTCCAGATGTTTTAATCTGGCCCTCGCGCTCCCGCCAGGGAGTGGGGTCAGGGGTTTGTGGTTTCAGGCTTCAGGTGACTCTGAAGTTTGAGTTGTTTCTGATTGCTCTGAGAGGCCTATCCTTTCTTTAAGTTGCTATGAAATTAGTCCTGGGACTGCAGCTGCACTTTCCTTGTGCTTGTGCTATTATTCTTATGTTTTAAATTTCTAGGACTTCAGGCTAAGCCTTGCATTAAATCAGAATAAATATCTGGCTGAGTTACTTGGGTTTCTTTCTTTGGCATTCTGTTTCTGAATCCCTGTTTGGCCTTTGTTGAGGATGGGATACCTTTCGTTGTTGGTTTGTTTTTCCTTACCAGGTTTCATAGTGGCTTTTTCTTTCTTGTTATCTTTTTGCTTTCATTATAAATAGTGGAAGCCAGAAATGACTTGGTTCCTCTAGTCCAGCCTCTTGCCTTGTATGACTCCTGAATACTTCATTTCCAGGTCTGGTGCCTTAAACCTCCCTTATTTCTTTGAGTTTTGGTTTGGTTTGGGTTTTTTTGTTCCTGCCTCCCTTAATCCATTTGTTTAAAAACTGGTTTTTTTCTCCAGCCTACAATTCCCTAGCTTCAGCTATTATTACATGATGATTTTTTTAAACAAATAAAGGGTATGACCCTGCAAACTCTTAGTCACAAGGTTGTCTGTACCCACGTCAGATGTCCTGTTGACTTCAATAGTCCTATTACCATAAAGATTGGTTGTCTGAGAGGGTGTGCAGGATCAGGCCCTAATGCCCTTCCATTAAAGTCTTTACAGGGCATGGTTCAACTCTGTTCTGTTCTCCCACTCCAGCCACCAGACTTGCCCCTGCCCTCCCGCCAGACTACATACATTCTGGGCCTGATCTTAAAATATGCCTAAGCCTTGCTTAGGCCAAAACCCAAGAAGGGGAGGTGGTAAAGGTGGCTGATTCCCTCAGGTAGCCAGAAACTGAGGTGGTGCATGTCGTAATTTAGAGCAGGGATCTAACACATATCAAGTTCTGTCCCATGACATATCCTGTGTGCAAGCTCTGTAAGTGATGGAGACCCTGGTTGCCTGTTTAGGATAGCTTTACAGGGCCTTTGCACCATGGGAGTGGTGCAAAGAGGCCTCCTTGTGGGGCAACATCTGGCCTTCTGCTTCCATCCTCAAATGTATAATCTCAAATTCATGTATCCACTTTAGTGCCATTCTTTGTAGTCCCTTCCATTCATCTCTGCTGAATGCTCGGGGAGGGAAGCCAGAACTTATCCACAATATTTCAGGTGCTCAGATAGCAACGAATGTGAAATAATAATCGTCCGATCTTTAGCAAGTAAAATTATGAAGTTAAAAACGTTCCCCACAGTAGTTTAGCCAGGCTCTGGGAAGGGTTAGCTAGTATGATGCAGCTCTGTGTTTTGTTAGATGGGTTGCTGTTACAAACACTGGAGGGCAGCAGAACAAATGCAGCTAAGGATTTAACCAATGAACAATAGTAATGAGCTGGATTCTGAATTACCGTAGCATCCTCCCACAGTCAAGTCAATACAGTGACTTAGAAAGAGGTACTTTGAAATGTGATTTTTTTCTGTAAAAAGCCAGAACTAGGGGTACTGGCTTGAAGTAGCAATAACAACCTAAATACATGGTTTCTGCCTTCAGCACCCCCACTATGAAAATTGTTCCATCACCACTGGTAAAAAAATAAATTCAGTGAGTAAGAATTGCTTTCCCAACCTGTAGTAAACCTTTAAAAAGAACTGACCACTTCTCTCCTCTTGCAAGAGAGTTCATTCAATTCACAATGTCCTATTGTTTTCTTCCCCCGTTTTTTTTTTTATAGGATTGATGGTGAAAATACACCAGAAATAACCACTTTGCGTTATCTCAGATTTGAAAAATTAACAAAGGTACCTTTGTAATGAAGAGTTACAGCCCCAGCCAGGTGCAAGGAGGATGAAAGTGAGTCTGTCTCTGGGTTCTTCATGTCTAGCTGTTTGCAAAAGGGGGAAAGATTGCAAAAATCTCTCCTCTGTTGTGCCACAGACACAATCACGCATACAGACTCACACAGTCCTTGTGCTCCTAGAGTGCAAGGATAGCTTCTTCCAAGTAGGCAGGGAGGAGCAGTTGAGGCAAAGCCATCGCTCCACCAGTTTCCCTCTTTGTCCCAGCTGGGCTCCATGAGGAGAGCACATGCTGCCCCTTGCCAACATATGCCAGAGATTTTGCTCTAGCATCCATTGCACTGGGAGCCCAGGAGGACTTTTTACTGTAAATATACATATATAAACACAATGAGTTCATGGAAGATAGGTCCAGCAATGACTGTTAGCCAGGATGGACAGTGATGGTGTCCCTAACCTCTGTTTACCAGAAGCTGGGAATGGGCAACAGGGGATGGGTCACTTGATGATTACCTGTTCTGTTCATTCCCTCTGGGGCACCTGGCACTGGCCACTGTCGGAAGACAGGATACTGGGCTAGATGGACCTTTGGTCTGACCCAGTATGGCTGTTCTTATGTTCAGTATACTTTTAAAGCTGGATTCCTCTTTGCAGGCAGGCAGAGGCACCCAGTGTCCAACTACTGGAAAACATCCTAAGCCAGCATTGCAGTGAACCCATTTATATAAAAATTGCCTCATTACTGAGACTACTACTCATTACTTGAGACTACTAATAGTCTCAAGCATGGAAAGGATGGAGACTAAGTTATCTTTTCAGTCTTAGAGGTGGCCCTTCCAGAACATGATACACACAAATGTGGAGAAACTTGTACTGCTGTTCTCCATGCCGTATGTGTGCTATGAATAAATAGAGACATGCAATTTACTAAGGCTGCTGAGCTAGAACTTTCACAAGAAATGAATTCACTGTAGAAAATATTGGTTATAAATTGTATAACTTCCCAAGAATTGGGAAATTAGCATGTGCAATACAGTATATGTAATCAGATATTGCTATAGAGGACTAAGTGTACATACAGTATCGTTTATAAATCATGCCCAAAAAATGTGGGGAGAGTGGGAGGAACGATGACATAGCTGACCTTTTATCATTTTCAATGGAAAATTGTTTGGCAACTTTCATTGTCCAGGCAAATTCAGACAGATGAAAGGGTCGACTAAGCAATGATTATATATGTACATAAATTAAAATAAATTACTGAAAGCTTTCATGTTTTATCTGTTAAAATGCTTCTGTGACTTTGGCTTAAAAGAAGGAAGAGCTTTAGAAGGATCAGAAGAGAGTGTCCCATGGGAATAAAATTACCCGTGGAAATAACAATTTGTTTTTTGAACTTCACAGAGAAACAAAGGTTTGATACAGATGCAATAACCATATCTCTGCAGCGGGATTTTTTAATAACCAAAGGCAGAGGAGTTGTGACTTTGCATGTAATGGCAACTTTTGGATCATTCATAACTTTTTCCCACAAGCAGCTTATTTCAAACAACAGTAACCTACCAATGCTATTCTAAGCAGAACTAGTTAATAGTTTCCTGTTAGCAAAACACGAGTGGTGGTGTGTGAGGGTTGATTTCTTTATATTCTAGAAAAAAGCTAAACTGTGTTATCTGTATTCTGATTTGTGAGGGTCCCTCCTCCCCTAATATCCATTTAAACCAAGCAGTGTTGTTAGGAATCTCTTTCTTTTTCTAGTGTTTGGCCAAATATCACTTCATTGCCCTCAGGAAGTGTGAAATTAGTCCAGTGCATTTCATCAGGTAGGCCCTGATCAGTAGGGACTCCAGAATGTTGAGGGGCAGTCTGTATACACCCATCTCAAAGATAAAGTAGAAGACTTGCACAGAATTCAGCCACCTCGGGGCATTCCCATCAGATATGAAGGGAAAATGCTGCTGCTTTTACATTCCTTCCAGAAAGCATGTAAATAATCAACAGAATTTTTTTAAGCAAGAGGAAATAATGTATCAGCGGATCATCATGTAGCTGAGTTCCATTACATTAAGTACCTGGACAAAAAGCTTGCCTACACGCTTTTGAAAACTTAACCCACAGGGAGCATGTATGTGTAGTTCTAAAGTACTATTTATACTGTCAGCTCTCTCATCAGAAACACACTTTGAAGTTAGAGGACATCTTTCACAAGCATTAAATTCAGTCCCATGTTTGGGAGCTAGTAAGTGCTGGCTGTGGGCTCTCCCCACACACATTCCCAAATTGTGTTTAAATTGGAATTTCAGTACAAATATAAAATAAACATGTTATTGGCAAATGCAGATGTCAATTAAAATGAGAGTTTATCCATATAAATCTGAGTGGGAGAACGGTCTGGGCATTTGGGAATGCATAAGTGTCCATGACCTCCAAAAGGGGACACCAAGTACCTGGCCTTGTCAGAGTTAATAGATTATTTTTTCCATTTAGGTTATAAACACCATGTTTCTTGTTCAATCCAATAATTAAGAGTCATCTTATTAACTACCAGCATAACAACTCAGCACGTTTATACATTTAGTGTAACCAATATTTTAAGGATTTCTTTTAAGGATTCCGTAACTGATAAATTGTACTTTTCTCTTATGATTCTGCTAATATGTTTCCATATTTTCTGTATTGCAGGTAATTCTCACATTGCAGGGCAAGCTGATGTTTCTACTGTATAGCATTTGGGACATTTAAACGTAGCTATTCTGGGGTATAATTTAGGACAAATCAATCCTTTGTTTCCACATGCAGTTGTTATGGGGCTTATTTTGTTACAAGTGGCTGCTTTATATATGTTGGATGTGCCCTGGTTCTATTCTTCAGCAGTGTTTTCAATTTACTTTTCATTTTGCAGTTTCCCCATACCACTGAGGCAATATGTTGGATAATCATCTCTTAGTAGTTTATATAATATCTGCTAGTCAATTTAGAAGTGATGGAGCCGCACAGCATCGTTTCTTCAAAGAGTGAGAAGTGGTTATTTTTCCTTTTTTGGTAAAGATGCAGTGATGGGAAGGCAATGCAAACTGCCCTGATGGAGAGGCATTGCAATGATTCAATCTCTAGTGCTCCCTTCCAGGAAGATGTGTAGAGCAGAGAAGATAAGCTCTGTCTGTCTTGTATCAGTTTAGATGGGATTCAGGCTTGACATGAGGGCCTTGCAGGTGGGGTCTAGGGCATGGTTAAAATGGAGATATTTATGTGCACTATGTACTCTACAGACATAAATAAGATTCAGTCCCTGCCCCCGAAGATCTTACAGTCTAAGGGGTTGATACTCGGGTGATTAAGTTTATGCATGTCAGTAGTCCCACTAAACATGGGGCCTAATGAAGACATGACAGAACACGGAAAGACAATCAAAAAGTAAGGCACAGAGGTTACTCATACAAGCCCACAGACTAGATCCTATATGTACCCCAGCTGTTTTGGAGCTCTGGAACAAAGTAACCTCATTCTCTCCCCTGAAAGAAGCACCTCCTTTAGCTGCTTCTAAAAATTCCTGCTGTGATTTAACAGACAATAAAAAGCCATTCTCTGGTTGAATAAGGACTCTGCTAGGAATACTACTAGGTGAGGTGCAATGGGGCTGCAGGCCCCTCCAGGGCACACCAAAGACCTGTACTCCCCATCACAAGGTGGGAAAATAAAGTTGTGTACCCCCATGAGAAGAAAGTGATTGCACATCATCATAAGAATGGCTTAGCCTCTAAGAACTGAAAAATGCAGTCTCTGGTGAGAGAAGAAAGGTCAAAGATCTGTCAACTTAAACAGGCACAAAATGATCTACTGGGTGACATTTCTTTTTTCCTTTCCCTCACGGCCATGTGGCTCTTTTCTCATTCTCAATGAGTGTCACAGCCTGACATCTGCCCCCCACAAATCAAAAGCTGCACATCTTTTCAGCTGGCAAGTTCGATACACATAAAAATCATTAATAATGGTAAATGGTTTCCATCTCAGTTACTTTGTCATTACAGGTTCGTTAGATGTATCCAGAATAGAAATGGCAGCACAGTTTCGCTACTTTAAGAGTGAAAAGAACTACAAGAGTAGTGGTTTTTAACCCTTGAGAATCTGAGTTACATTGGGAAATGCGGAGGACTTCTGAGGCAGGCAAAATACCTCCACTGGCACCAGCAGGGAGAGCTATGGTCAGGAGCAACTCCTCTGCCTCCTTTTTAGATCTGCAGAATGTACTCCTCCATTCCCAGCTTCAGACTGCCTCAAGGGGCTGGGACTTGGACGTACACCCTCCCCTACGCAACCATTTGGGATTGTAATCTTCTGGTCACACAAACAGTCCCTCCTCTCCCCTTACATTCATTGGTGCAAGAGCTAGAATGTTGGCTGTCCTTGCCCAAGTGCCTAAGGGAGGTTAAGCAGCTTCCTGTGCTTTCTCATTCCTTGGAAATGTGCATAGAAGCTGCCAGAATCTGGCCTTATGCACTGATATTTACGCATATGGCAGCTGTTTTCCTACAGTTAATTTATTGCTCTCTTCATTTTTTCCCCATAGACGTCTTTTCCTGTGTTTTTGCAACTTCAAGGTGCCCTGTGTAGGTAAATGGAATTAGGGTTTGTGCCCTATTTATGTTTTGATTTTGAGTGGCACTGTATCACCAAAAAGAGGATCAGTCCCTGGTTCTAGGCACCTGGCTTCTTTACTGAAAGGTTCTGGGTTTTTTAATTTCTTTTCCTGTATATGTTTGACCTTAGAAAGTGTATTTACCTCCTTCTTGTAAACTTGCTTAATGTAATTATTAAAGAGTTAATGCATTTGGACAAACCACAGAGCAAGAGAGAGTTCTTTTTCTGTGATCTCGTAAGTTTGATTGAAATTTGAAAGAAGACAAAGTGTACGATCAACTACAGTAGGGAAGGCATAAAGTCTACAATGTTCTCTAACCTTTTGCTTTAGCTTACGCTCTTCAACACATAAATGTCTCTTTTCTAATGGACAGAACTGCAGAAATGCCACACCAGGGCCATCTAATTAACTAAACCTAGGTAAACTGAATGTTAATTCAGTCGAATCTTCTTAGCAGGTGGACAGCCAATTCACTCAGTTAAACAGCTATTCTGATAGAGAACGACTTATAATGACAGAAAATACTGAACAGAGTAAAAATGCAACAATAAAAATTATATTTGTTGCAGTTCATCTTTATTTGATCTTTATTTCTTATGGTTTTTTATTTGGAAATTTCTTTATGGAAAAAACTGGAGTTTGGCATTTCAGATTTATTTAATCTCTTGTTAAACTTGTTAACTTGTTGTGTCTCTGGATGAATATACCCCTATTAAGCAGTTTCATTATCATTAAGTACAATTATGCTAAACTAGCACCATGGAAGATGTCCTGCTTAAGAATATCCTGGTTAAGTGGCGTGTACAGTACCTGTAATTCTTTGTCTCAGGTCTCACATTTGCACTTGGTTAGCATTTTCCTTCCATATATTTTGAGTTGCTTGCTTGAGTTTTCATCACATATGTTCCTAATTACAAGATGTGAAGGTTAAACAATAAACACACCAGAACGCAGTAATGCTGTGGGATACTACCACACCCTACTGTGCTAATTATGCAAAAGTCCATTAATATAGGTCTAATACTTGGTGTGGCTATACTATAAAATGACTCATTTGGGTATTAATTATTCATAAATATGGTCTTTAAATAAAAAATGAGTTTTTTGTCCCTTTTATATTGTGTATAAAGAAGGCATGTTTTTTAAAGGAGTGGGGATTGTTTCTGCTTGTATTTTACCTTAGAAATTCGGGTCTTACCTATTGAGGTTTTTCATATGGACTCTATGGACAACTGGATAACTTTTATGGTTATAATATCAAAAGGGTCAAGGTGAAATTTGAGCAACTGAGAGAGGAAGGATTTTTTTAGTCAAACTGCTAAACTATTTTCTATTGTGTTTTTCTGAACACCTGTTTAATACAAGAGCCTAATAAACAGTTTGCTGAAAAGATGTCTTTATTAAAGATTCACCACCCTGTTCTTTCATTTAAAGGCTGTGGGAACTCTTACTCCTGTTCTCTGGTCCTTCAGAGAGACCTCCAGCAAAATCAGGGAAGACTTGATAATCCCATCTCTGGTTATGGTACAGAACAAAGAATCTTTAAATATTGTATTTCCGAATCTGGAATTGTGCATGGTTTTGTTTAGAAGGGTATTTTAGGTAGCACTGTATCTCTGGAGTTAAAAGCTAATATTCAGGGTGACAGGTTTCAGAGTAACAGCCGTGTTAGTCTGTATTCGCAAAAAGAAAAGGAGTACTTGTGGCACCTTAGAGACTAACCAATTTATTCAGGGTGAAAGATCTATAAGATGTGTCATCATTAACAAGGTACTAATTGGGTAACTGGGTGAGACTGAAAAGTTAGTTGTTCGGAAATATAGCTCTGAACCCTCCAAGACCCAAATGCAATAGCAAATACACAAAGGTGCCAGTCCTACCAGGTGCTGAGCACTTCCTTCCAGAACTGAGCACTCCCACTTCCAGTCAAGTGTCTGTCAGTTGTATGCCACTGTAAAGTACCCCTGCACAAGGAGGCTCCTCAGCTGGTTACTTAAGCAGCCATAATGAGGCCAAGAATCCAGCCCTATGTCTGTCTGCTCTATTCTTTGCTAAATATTTGTTTATTCTATGACATTACAAGAGTTTCACTCACTGGTAAAATTTGTGCCTTTTTTCTAATTTGAATTTGTCTGGCTTCAGCTTCCAGTCACTGGTCCTGGTAATACCTTTTTCCAGGAGATTAAAGAGCCCTTTAATAGCTGGTATTTTCTCCCTGGGAAGTTACTTATCCACTATAATCAATTCATGTCTCAGTTTTCTTTCTGATAAACTAAATAGATTGAGTTCTCTAAGTCTCTCATGGTGAGGCAATTTCTCCAGCTCTAGACTAATTTTTGTGTTTCATGTCTGCACCCTCCCCAATTTTTCAACATCTGTTTAAAAATGTGGATACCAGAACTGTGTGCAGTATTCCAGTACTGGTCTCACCAATGCTCTGTAGAGAGGTAAAATCATTTCCCTACTCCTGCTTCCCTAAGTATATATCCAAGGATTGCTTTAGCCCTGTTTGTGACAGCATGGCACTGGGCGCTCATGTTGTTGCTATTATTTTATTTATTATATTATTGTAGCAGAGTTGCTTATCCACTTTGACCCCAAGATCATTTACAGAATTGCTCTTTTCCATGATAGAGCCCTTCCCCTCCTGCCCCATTCTGTAGGTATGGCTTGCATTCCTTGTTCCTAGATATGTAACTTTGCATTTGGCTGTATTCAAATGTATTTTGTTTGAATGGGACCAGCATACCAAGCGATCCAGAACACTCTGTATGACTGCCCTGTCATCCTTATTTATCATGCCACCAAGCTTTGTGTCATCCACAAATTTTAGCAGCAGTGATTTTATATTTATTTCCAGACAAGTGAAGAAAATTTTTCCCTGACACCATGTCAATATCCCAAACAGCTATCTAATGGTGAAGGGATCACAATATGGAATTAACTTCTCAGGGGGAAGTTTCACACATTAACAGTTCTTGCAAGAGAGAACATTGTACTGTTGTTTTTTTCTTTCAAGCATTTAAAACTGAGTGAGTAAACCTGTTTAGCTTGCCCCATATTGCTTTGACTACAGCCTTTTGCCTAATATAGATGTGGGTGTCTTAGCCTGTGGCTTGGCAAACATCCTAAGTTTTTGTATGATAGGCTTTCTTCCTGGATGGAAATCGCATGTGATGTGCTTTTTCTTCTGCTTCCCGTGAGCACTGTGCTCAAGAACGATGTTTGCTGTACAAATCCTACCCCAAAGTGCTCTTGTAGGCATTAGTGTTGGACAAGGAGCCTTATGAGTTGTCATACTTAATTTCTAATTAGCCCAAGGCATGAAAGCTGGCATCATTGTTTAGCCCAGACCATCTCATGAGGAGAGAGGAATGATTTAAAGCAGGGGTTCTCAAACTTCATTACACCGTGACCCTCTTCTGACAACAAAAATTACTACACGACCCTAGGAGAGGGGACCGAAGCCTGAGCCCATATGAGCACCCCTGCCCGGGTCGGGGCAATTCCAAAGCCTGGTGGGGCCAAAACTGAAGCCCAAGGGCTTCTGCCCCAGATGGGGGGCCTGTACCATGAGCCCTGTCACCCAAAGCTGAAGCCCTTGGGCTTTGGTTTCGACCCCGGGTGGTGGAACTTGGGCTTTCGCCCCAGGGCCTAGCAAGTCTGATGCCAGCACTGGTGACGCCATTAAAACGGGCTCACGACCCACTGTGGGGTCCTGATCCACCGTTGAGAACCGCTGATTTAAAGTAATCATTAGGAGCTGCTTGGTCCTGAAAACAGAACTCTCTCTTTATTCATAACCCAGACAATTGCATTACATTTAGGGCTCGTTCCTGCAGTTATTATACAGACGAAACACAAGTTGATTTAAAAGCTGTGCAATACACACTATCACCTTGATTATCAGAATATAATGCCAGCCAATGAACAATTTCAGGTAACCGATGTTTTGGTAATTGAGGGAATTTTAGGTCTAATTAATAGACATTGGGAGACAAGAACCCATTTTGGATAAGAGGAAGTTTTAGTTAACTGAATTTCAGAAAATCATGGTTACACTGTATGCATATCTCTTTAACTCAGTCTTTCACTTTATGGAGGACTTGTGGAACCTTAGAGACTAACAAATGTATTTGAGCATAAGCTTTCGTGAGCCAGAGCTCACTTCATCTGTAGCTCATGAAAGCTTATGCTCAAATACATTTGTTAGTTTCTAAGGTGCCACAAGTCCTCCTGTTCTTTTTGTGCATACAGACTAACAGGGCTGCTACTCTGAAACCTGTCTTTCACTTTATGAAACGTTATTGAAATTCAAAGGATTATTTGGAAATAATTTTTCGTTTCTTACAGTATGACTCTTAACTGTCCTTGACTGCTAATCGTTTGATCGTTTCTCATTTCATTTCCAGAAAGTCATGTTGACAGCACATTTTCTTGCTTATGTATGCAAAGGGAAAGAAGAGGGGATAAGAGCTGTGTCTTATCACCTAAAACTACCCAGACACTGGAAACTTCACATGACAAATCATCACTTAGACTGACAGAGAAAATGTTTTTAGGTGTATTGTGGGGTGGTGGTGATTGCAAGGTTTGGTTTGGTTTGGTTTTCTTCCCCGACATGATTTTGAAGTGTTTCAATATGGATTATAAAGTATATAAAAAAACCTTTTTGAGACCACTCTGCCATTGTCTGTCTTCAGCATTTCATACTCTTTTTATTTATTCTATTGCAATGTTTCCTAAAGGCTGATCGACACACAAACTTTCACTAAATATCTAAATTAGTTGTAAGTGAGACCTCTTGTTATTTTGGTGCCATCCTGTGAGTGGACATTCTTATTTTGGTATAAGAGTGCCTATATTGATTTAGTTTATATTGGTGTTTTACTGACTTCAGCTAAATTGAAGTAGGACACCTTAATTCTGAAATACACAGACTTCCACCAAAGCAACAAAATGTGTCAATTACAACTACTTGAGGCTATGTCCACATTATTATTTATGTTGGTATCACTTATATCATGGGGGGGTAGTTAAGCCAACGGGAGAGCTACGCTAGAAAGCTTACAGCGGCATCACTCACTGTACGTTCTCCAGTGTAGCCATAGCCCGAGGCCATGTCTACATGTACAATGCTGCAGCGGCCCAGCTGCACCCATACAGCTGTGCCACTGCAGCACATCTGGTGAAGATGCTCTATGCGGATGAGCGAGAACTGTCCTGTTGGCATAAAAAAACCACCTCTGTGAGAGGCGGTAACTATGTCAGCAGGAGAAGCTCTCCCACTTACGTAGTGCTGTCCACACTGGCACTTAGATTGGTGTAACTTATGTCACTCGGGGGTGGTTTATTCACACCCTTGAGAGACCTAAATTATGTCAAGATAGGCTGTAGTGTAGACATAGCCTGAGTTATTTTGGTGCAAATTTATATGAGAATGAGGCTTACATTTTCTCTAGCCGTATTAGAATCTTTGGCCTACCTGCACCATAAAATACCTTCTACATGAATTTTGTTTTCTTTTACTTGTTTTATAGAATGGAATTTTCCTTCCAGGGGCAGACTTTTCATTTTGTTTTTAAATTTGTGAATAAACTGGTGAGACTAATACCAGCAGTGTGAGCCAGGCATGGCCCAGGAATGTGCTATGCAAATTTCTACACAGAGACAATGCAGGATGCATTTCCTTAAGTAGTGAGAAAGGGCAGCGACAGCAAAGATTCTCAACAATCTAACATATAACTATGCTGGAGCAAGTGAACAGCGAGTCATCAGGAAAAAATCTAGTAACCAACAGTGGCCATTAAAGATTACTAAATACTGGTAGACTTGTTTGGGAATGATGAGGAGCAGTGCGCTGCTGTAAATGGGGCAGCATCTAGAGCAGGAGCTAGTGGTGCCCAGCCCCTGTGCAGCAAGCTTTGCCAAGCCTTTCGCAATCGGAAATGAAGTCATCTATGTCATTATTTCTAGGTAGCCCCTCAGAGCTTAGAAATCCAGAGAAGCGAGAGTACAGGTAGTGAAGTTCCATGGCAAAGCTATTTTGACTGCAGTATCAAGATATTTTTAAGCTCTTAGACCAGAGGCATGCAGCAGTCTGCCACCACATCCTCAGAATGTCAGACAGATTATTTTCAGGAGTACAGCTAGGTTAATGAATGTTCACATATGAAATGTGCTCAGAACATAGTCCTTGGATTAGAAACAATACATCCAGCTCCTCACCACAATCACCTGCCTCAGGCCCAACCCAAGAAAAGAAATGGCCATTTCAGTTTTGCCTAAAAGTCAACACATCTGGACTTTGTTAGACCAGAAGGAAAATCAAATTCCAGGATGAGACCCCATCACTGACATCACCCCTTTCCATCCACTTAGACATTCAAATCTAGGGACTGCAGCCAAGAGCCCTACAACT